AAAGGTTTTTTTTAAAAAAAAAAAAAAAAAAAAAAAACACATCATAACTACAGTACTGTTATCACACCTAAAATATCTAGCAGTAGTTTCTCAGTTCTTGGCAGTTTTTGTGCAGTCTCTTCAAATCAGGATCCAAGTAATGCCATAAATTGCCATTAACTGGTATTGTCTCTCACATCTCTAAATCCTCTTTTTGTTTTTGCAAATTGTTGAAGAAGCCAAATCGTTTGTCCTGTAGAGTTTCCTGCAGTAGGGATTTTGTTGACTGTATTCTTATTGTTCCTTTTAACGTGTTCTGTTCTCTGTATTTATAAGAGAAACCTACCCTCACCAACCATTTGGTTACCTCAAAGTACAGTTTGTATAGGAAGGGCAGGATAATTGCTTACTTTTTTTGTTTTATGAGTTTTCAAAATACTCATACATGTTTAATGTTTTTTAATCCATTACACTTAAAATTATTGATGCTCAAATTGGTAAGAGCTGTTTTTTAAACTGCTTTATTTCTATTATCTTTCTGCAACATGAGAATTTTATTTCATCGGTTCCCTTTAGGGATCTTTTTTTTTATAGTGAAACATGATTTGGTTAAATAAGTTAGAAGCTTTTTAAATTAAAATTCTCTAAGAAGTTTGAATAAGCTGAGAGTTCACATCATTTTAATCAGTCTTTTCATTGCCTTGAAAAAATAATATGCCCTTTAACATGGGAATATTAAGTCAGTTTGTATCAAATTATAATTACAGGAAGAAATACAAGAAAAAGAAGTCTAAGAAGAGCAGAAAAGATTCCAGTGATTCAAGCTCTAAAGATTCCCAAGAAGAGTTTCTGGAGAACCCCTGGAAGGATCGATCAAGTAGGTTCTTCTGATACACTTTGACTCAGAACAGATAAAACATTAAATTAACCAATTAGTCAAAATGTGAATTATTTTCCTGAACATTTTTCATGCAGAGCCTGAAGAACCCTCAGATTTAATTGGCCCAGAGGCTCCAAAAACACTTGCCTCTCAAGATGATAAACCTCTGAAGTAAGTTAACAGTGCATTTACAATATCTAAAGTACCTTCCCAAAAGTGGGGCCCTAACTTACCTTTCCAAGCTTCTTGCCCTCTGCTCCCCCATTTATACCCCAGGTGCCAGCTGAACTGAACTAAATTTCCCTGTTTACTGTGCACTTTCCCACACTGTGCCCTGTTTCCCTTATTTCTTCCCCCAACATGCTTTCCCTTTTCCCAGCCCTGTTTCCTTCACTACCTCCAATTTCTTCCTGTTAAAATCCATACCATCCTTCAAAGCCCTTTTCAAAAGGAGAGGCGTGTGCTGATTCCCAGTACCTTCCCTCCACAAATAGGTGTGATTCCTACCCTGCCCCTCTTTCATCCTCAAACCCTCATAGCATTTTCTATTTCTTTTGTGAAATGTATTATATATTCTACATTATATTCAGTTATATCCTTACTAATATGCAAATTCCACAAGATCAGAGTTTATTTTTGTTTAATAGGTATTTAAGAAGCATTCAATGCATTAAATGAAGGGATGATAGTTTGCAAAGTCCCCTTGAATGAAAGGTAATAGATAATTGTTACTGTGCATGTTATTACTGGTTATAAGGCTAAACAATATGTTAAATTTGAGATATATATATATATTTTAAAGGAAAAGGGGAAAAGGAATTTGCTGAAAGCAGCAGCAGGAAAGGCAACACCTGTAGGGATAAATTGATCCATAATTGTAAAACATGAATCTGTGCATACTAACACCAATTCTTTTGTTCTTCCAAAGTATCTCCCCACTTCTGGATTAGTTACATAGGTTACAGTGCATTGTTTACTAATTAAAGTAATTCATTTTGGGCTTCCTAGCATGCTGCCACTCAGCAAATGTTATTCCTGCTATTTGCTGAGAGTAAATGAATTTTTGTGCTCTCTTTAGATGAGGAGATTTTTATAATGAACCTTTCCTGAATTCTGAATTTCTTTGTAGCTATGGCCATGCTCTGTTACCTGGTGAAGGTGCAGCTATGGCTGAATATGTAAAAGCTGGAAAACGTATCCCACGAAGAGGTGAAATTGGTTTGACAAGTGAAGAAATTGCATCATTTGAATGTTCGGGTTATGTAATGAGTGGTAGCAGGTATGTTCTTGGCATCGAAGTCAGTTTCTGTGATTAGATCATTTCCTTCTTTCTCACTACCAGAATTATATTTGGTGATTGATTTTCATTAAGTGACCATTCCTAATGAAAAGTAAAGTATAAGTACTGTTTTAATATTGGTTTTATTGGTATAAATGTAGTTGCCTAAAATTCTAAGTACGTATGCAGCTGAGCCTCATACTCAGCTATGTCAAAGAATCTTTCTTTCCAGTGTCCTTTCTTGTTTCATATTTTGTATAGATAGTTTATCCTCTGGAGGATATAGTTAAATTCAGCTATTTTTTTCTACCCCATGAGGAAAGCATTTTCATAAGACAATGTTTCCTGGTTTCTGAGTTTGCCTCTAGTTCTCTGTGGACTCTGAGAATGAAGAGCAGAAAAGGATTATGACAGACAGGTTCATCATGGGGAAATGAATATAAAATTAGGAAAGAGAAAGCAAAGTACCAGGAAGAACAAGGAGAGTAAATAGGGCATCTGTACCAAGATCAAACAAGTTTGGATTTTTAAAAACTATAAACTTTTAAAAGTAGTTAAATATTTTAAAATAAAACTGTAGGCAGATATCTGCAGTACCTCTGAAGCACCTCCAGAATCTTAGAATCCTGAGGACCAACATTTGAAAACATTATATCTGATGATCAGCACAATAAGATAAGAAAAAGAAAATACAGGCATAAGGACTGGAAAGAAGGATATAACACTGTCATTTTTTGGCAATGATATGGATTGTTTATATAGAAAATCCTAAAGAATCTATAGATAAATTATAAATAATAGGAGGGTTTAACAAATGGTTGGATATAAGGTTAATACACAAAAATCAGTTGCATCTCTATGCACCAGCACAACTAGAAAATGTAATTAAATAAAAAGAAAACAACATTTATAACAGTATCAGAGAACATGAAGGAGTTAGAAATTAATCTTAATAAAAAATGTCCAGGACCTCTACATGGAAAACTATGAAACATTATTAAGAAACATTAAAAAAGACAGAAATAAATGGAGAAATACCACGTTCATATACAGAAAGGCAATATTGTAAAGTTGTCAGTTCTTCCCAAATTGATCTGTAGATTCAGTGCAGTTTCAATCAAAATCACAACAACAAAATCACAACAGAGTTTTTCATGAAGCTTAATAAGTTGGTTTTAAATTTTATACGTTAGCCTGGTCAGCATGGCTCAGCGGTTGAGCATTGACCTATGATCCAGGAGATCACAGTTCGATTCCCGGTCAGGGCACATGCCCGGGCTGCGGGCTCGATCCCCAGCAGGGGGCCTGCAGGAGGCAGCCGATCAATGACTCTCATCATTGATGTTTCTCTCTCTCTCTCCCCTTCTCCCTTCCTTCCTCTCTCTGAAATCAATAAAAGATATATTTTTAAAAAAAGAAAAAAAAAGAATACCTATAAATGACCCGAAAGAAAAGTAGGAAAATGACACAAAGAAGCATTTGTCAGGAGAAGAAATATGTATGGCTTATACATACATAAAAAAGTGTTCATTATCATTGGAAATGGAAATTAAGAATGTACTGGAATACCATTTTGCATGCATTTGATAAACAAAATTTCATAGTTATAACAATACCAAGCATTTGAGAGGATGTGGATCTACAGGATCTCTTAAATATTATTAGTGATGGTGTAAATTGGCACAACCGCTTTGGAAAACAGTCTGACATTATTTTGGAAAGTTGAGCGTTCATATACTTTTATGACCCAGCAACTGCATACCTAGATACCCAAGAGAAGCTCTTTCCCATGTACTAGGAGACACATAGAGGTTTATTACAGCATTGTTCACATAGCACTTCCTATTCCAGATAATCTACTATCTCTACCCTCAGCAATCTAAATACATTGTCATCTCCTTGACTCTCCATCCTGCCACTCCCCCACTGTCATACTAACCTAAAGTGATTCTCCCTTTTACTCACTCAGTTTTCTCTATTTTTTTTAAGACAGCTCAAGCTTCATCTTGAACTGATTGTATAGGATTGGGTATATGCATGTAAAAAGGCAGGTTTTCACGAAGTTTTCCTTCTAAATAAGTGACCTAAAAAAAATTTTGAAGATGATGTAATAGTTTCCCTCTGCCCCTGCCCCTATACTTTCCTGATTTGTATCTTGTGCTAAATCCCTTCTTTGTTTTCTTTGAGCTGCTACTAGAGTCTAAGTTAAATTCAATTGTAGATTTAGGCTTGGTTCTTTTGGTTGTATGATAAATTTGAACCTTGAAGAAGTTCCACCTAATTGATGACAGCGTAAATCTTTCACCTATCCTGTTATTAATTCCACAAAAGCAAATTCCATGTATTACCTAGCAAGTTTAATAGTTTGCCCTTTCTGGTTGTTTTACTGGAAACAGCAGAACCAGATGTATGCCCTTAGCATTTGAAATTAATAACATTCATGATGTTGACAGGACATCGGAGATCATTATTTAAATACTAAAAATAAATCAAAGGACACGTTGGCAGATAAAATGGTCTTTTGAAAATATTACCCATTACAGAAACAGTTTCTATTTGTCAGTTTTTTTAAGTAAACCACTCTGTATTAAGAAAGGATTAGTGAGAAAGTATATGAGAATAATTACTGAGAAATTAAGCCAAAAATAAAATTATCTCCAGGCATCGCCGAATGGAGGCCGTGCGACTACGAAAAGAGAACCAGATCTATAGTGCTGATGAGAAGAGAGCACTTGCATCGTTTAACCAAGAAGAAAGACGAAAGAGAGAAAACAAGATTCTGGCCAGTTTTCGAGAGATGGTATACAGAAAAACTAAAGGGAAAGATGACAAATAAGGATTTTCAGATTGTGCAGCAGACATTTTCAACAGAAAGTCTGAGTTTCGTATATCAATACAAAAAGATTGTTGTGATCGGAAAAGCTTTACAGTGCTACTGTGCCTTCTATTTAATTCTTTCAGTCCTTCAATAAAAAGCTGCTCATTGATAACACGTTAGCAAGTTCTTTGGGATATTTTGGATTGACCATAAAACTTTCTGGTTGAAAAATCCAAATTATGAATGAAATCCTACTGTATTGGGGGAGGTGACATTGAGAGAAGATGTCAGTGAGATGAGAAACTTAACTCTTACGCCATGGGATGGCCACTCTTAGCTCTACATGATGCTTGCCCCCCGAACTGAACTTGTGGGAAATTATTATTTCTCTGTGTTGAATGTGTTATAAATGGACTTGATAGAAACATACAAGAGGCCAGTTTTGTTAACAAAATGAAGGCAGTGCTGAAAAAAAGCAAATCTGGAATTTGAAGATTGACTTTTATTGTACAATATATAGTCTGCCTTGGAAATCCTGTATTTCTTTGGTTTTAGTCCCTACCCTCACCCCCAAACCCACAAACCAACCAAAAAGCAAACTAACCCACACACTTGTTGATTTGAAAATGTGAACATTAGTTTTAAAGATTCTTAACAGGTTACTTAAAAATGTTTTGTATTTTTTCCAAATGTAAAATATTGGGAAGTCTACTGCTGTGCCAGTGTAAGTCCATTATTTCCATCTAAGCTGTACTTGGATCATAATTTAAATACTAGACATGAATGGGAGTCAACTGTGGTCAGGAGTTTAATAGGGAAAGTTATAATGAATTATTATTTTAACTTAGTTGTTTTATAAGGATGAAGCTAAAATTGTATTAAACATTTTTGTCTGTCCTTCATGTAATAGGCAGATTTCATTTTAAACATAAACCTTTCAGTTTATTTTTTACCTCATGCAGTTTATTTTTATATAGAACCCCCTCAATTTATCACTTTTTTATGGCTCCTATTGACTTTTAAGTGTGGGAGAAATGGAAATTTCTGGGACTATGAGATTACAGTATTTTTCTTCTCTATTTCGTTCAGTTTTAGTCCTTAGGTCACAAGAGTGAAGGGGGAGGGGACAGTGGGAGTTCGGGTTCTTTTGTTAAGGTTGTTTTGAGCTATGTTATTATTATGGGCCTAGGATAAATTTAAGTTACCTGGGTGATAAGAAAATTCTGACCCTGCTGTTATAAAATGCCCTCTCCTCTCCTCAGAATAGTTTAAAGTCGTTTTTTCAAAGTTTTCAAATACGGCAATCATATTTCAAAGCATAGATCAGAAGTTTTACTGTTTAGCATATGTCCTAGGAAAATGTCTACCTTTAATCCACAACTGGTGAACTGAACAGCCACTTGGCTTGTAGCAACATTTATGACCCCTGAATTTGAAGTTATTTCTATTTATCATCACTGCTGCCTAGCCTAAGAAATCTATTTTTTCCAAAAGTTAAAAGGAAACTAACTAGGTCACAAATTTGTTAGTCCTAATCCATCTACTTCCCTGTATAATAAAACCTAAACTTTAAATGCCCATCTAAATATTTTGTTCTCTAAGAACATTATTTTTTGTCACTGACTTCTAGAGACTGAATGAGTTTTGTTCTCTTATTTTCAGTAGGCAAGATAGTTCAAGTGCAACAATTTTGTGATATATGAATACTGTGGATTTTCATTGTATTCTCCTGTCTCCTCCACAGAGTAGATACTCAACAAATGCTTGTTGAGTAAATGGAAGAAAATATATTCATTTATTTCAGAACTTTACCATTTCTTTCATCAGGGTTTGTTCAGGAAAGATGTACCAAGAACAGCTTCGGTAGCATATTTTTGGAGAAGGGAGGAAAGAATAAAAGGACTAAGAGTATTTTATTTTCAGCTCATAAGAGTTACTGCTTCAAACTATGTTTAGTCACCTGAGCCATATGTCTAATAAGAAGGCTATTGTATTTGAAATACTGTATTTTTTGTATTTTTTGTTTTCCAAGGAGACTTATCTAGTTTCCTACCTCCTTACCTTTTGCTCTAAGATTGTTCCCTCCTTTTTTATTTATTGTACAAATATAACAGTTAAAAATATTTTAAAAATTACCCACAGCCTTTCTACAGCAATTGTGTTTAGGGGTCTGTGTTTACTTCCAGTGCTTGTCTCTGTAAATATGTATTCTAATGTACCTATAAGTAATCACTCCTAATGTAGTTTGTCTTTGGTGTTTTAAAATTTTGCAACCAGGCAAGACAACCTCACAGGGATGGTAGGAACAAGTGATAATCTGGCTTGAGGATGGGAAGAAGACATGAAATAAATAAGGGTGGAGACTGAGCCTTCCATGTTTCACTGCCCCCAGTCCTGAAGCCACCCTGCTGCCATCATGATTGTGATGCTGTGTTGTGGCAGGCAGCATGCCCAGCTTCAGAGTTTCAGAATGTATTTAATATGAGGTTTAACTCATAATAAATGAAGGGGTCTGTGAGTAGAGAAACCCTTCAGACTGGTTATAGTATGAGCTGTAGAACTGTTGCCATTTTTTCTGTTCCGCAGTTGTGCCCATAAAGAGGTGTGTCTGGCCCTGGCTGGTGTGGCACAGGAGTTAGAGTGTCGGCCTGCACACCCAAGGGTCATGGGTTCAATCCCCAGCCCCACTAGGGTGCATACGGGAGGCAACCAATTGATGTGTCTCTCTCACATGGATGTTTCTCTATCTATCTCTTTATGTCTCTCTCTCTCCCTCCCCTCCCTCTCTTCCTCTCTCTCTCTCTAAAAATCAATGGAAAAAATATCCTCAGATGAGGATTAACAACAACAAAAAAAGAGGTGTGTCTGGGCTGGACACTTAGCTCAAATGGGGAAATAGGCAGTCAAGTATCAATCTCAGTTGGTCTGATAGGTGAATTTTAGCAACTCTCTAAACTCAGCTTCTATACCTGTATGACTCTGAATGATGCAGAGAATCATGGGAAAACCCTTTTAGGAAATAGAAAACAACGTACCAGTTACTCTGTTAGCATGATGGAAGTTGCCAAATGGAAAATGAATGAATGCAAACAAAATACAGCTGATTATGTGCCACGAGTTTATTATTCAATAAATATTATGTGGTTTGATGTGCAGTATGGTGTTTTTAATACATTCTGATTAGAAATCAAATCAAAAAACATTCTGTAAGAATCGGACACAATTGAATTAGAAGGGAAATGACTTCATTAAAATATGTTTGGCCTCAACCATGTCCCTCACCCAATTTTCTCGAAAACGAGTCGTTCCTGGTCTGCAGAGGAAGAAAAGCAAATACACCAAAAACTTTTAAAAATAAAACATTGAGACAAAGATTGATTCCCTGTTTACTCTGTTTCATTCCTGGTGAGCAAAAAGCCTTTGGGGGGGGAGGGGCGATCACTGTCTATTCCTTAGGCCCAATCAATAAAAGAATTAATGAGCTTATATGTAAAGATTCTTTAAGAGAGCTGCTATACAAATAAAAGGGAATATTATACATGAGTTAATTCCATGTAATTGTGAAGTTTGCCATAGAAACAATAGACATGACCCACTTTACCACCACCCTACTCCAGCAACTAATCCTCAAGTTTCTAATCACTAAAAAACAAGACATTAAAAAGCAAACAAAAACAGCCTGGCCAGTGTTGCTCAGTGGTTGAGCATCAACCCATGAACCTGGAGGTCACGATTCAGTTCCCAGTCAGGGCACATGCCTGGGTCGTGGGCTCAATCCCCAGTCAGGGGTGTACAGGAGGCAGCTGATAATGGCTCTCATTAATGTTTCTATCTATCTCTTCCTCTCCCTCTCTAAAATCAATAAAAAAATATTTTTAAAAAGCAAACAAAAGCACAATTTCTAGAACAATGGCAGTGTCTTACTTTCAGTCCATCCTAATGGGGTAGGTGGTCCAAATGGGAAAGGTGACCATTACATGAATTATCTGTGGCTGTGGGCCTGCTGGGTTCCTAGGGTGTGATGACCTTTATCTGCCACCCATTTAAAATAAGTCTCCAAATGTTCATTACCTGTGAAGTAGTGACTGGCCTTCAAAGGTATAAGAGACTTCAATGGGTGCATCCTAAGAGAGAAAAAGACAGTTGTCAGCCTAGACCAATCATACCAAGTCATGATTCCTTCCATTTCTATACTTGTCCATACATACACTCCTAAATCTCTAGACTTCATCTCCCTTGTGAACTGGGAGTCTGTAGGCAGTAGTTTTTTGTCACGTCAAACCTCGGTTCTCCAAAAGATCTTTTGGGCAACAGATACCTTAAACATCGCCACAATCTTGGAAACAAATCAGGAGAGGCTTATGCTCATTGATAGGAGCTTGAGTAAGTCATTTACCTTCTTTACATGTTCCAGTTTATTCAACTGACAGTAGCTACTTTACCTCTTAGGAATGGCACTAGAATAAAATAATATAGATGAACAAAGTTTGAAAACATGTTTAAAGCAGCATAAAAACGTAGGTTGTAATATTGTCTCCGTGGTCCCCACCGATTCTCCCCTCCAAAATTATGCTCGGAATTCTGAGCAAGGGCCCTTCTCCCAAGCCCTCTCTCTGTGGTTTATGGTCCTGTTTACTTCCGCCAGCATTACTTTCTGATCTCTAAACTTGCCACTTAGCAAGACTGCTGATGGTAGGATATATGACTAGGAAAAGCAAGAGCTCCACATATTTTACCTCTTTCAATTCAGGTTCCAAACTCTCTGACTAGATAAGTTTGTACTAGGATAGGATGAATATAGGATATAATTAGCTCACTATGCAGTCACATATAAAGCCTTAGAGTCAGACAAGGATTCAAATAACTTTTGTGAAAGGATGGAAAGCAAAGGGGCTATAACATTTTAATGTCTGCTCTGTTCCAAGCATTATGCTTGGTATCAACCCTGCTCCTCTAAGAACCCTATGCCTGGATTCATGTTATTTTTACTCTTTTCACACCAGCTATCAACATATCTCAGATTCATGGTCTACCTAATGGCTACAATCAGTCATTCTTTCAAGTATTTATTGTCTATGATTTGCCAGGCCTTGTTTTACAGGAAGACAAAAATCTCTGCCTTCATGGAACTTACATTCTGGCAGTAGGAGCCGACAAAAACAAGATAAATTATATAGAATATCCGAAGGTGGTAAAAGTGTTATGGATAAAAAGCAAAAGCTTTGGCAGGTGGGGGACTGCGAGTAGAAAGTGCAGTAGAAAAGGTGACAGAGCAGGCCATGCAGTGCCTAGGGGAGAGTGTTCCCGTCAGTAGGAACAGCAAGTGCAAAGGCCCTGAGGCAGGACTATATTATCAAAGAGTAGCAAGATCAGAGTGGCTGGAGAGAGTGAGGGAGAAGGAATAGTGGGAAAGCAGAAATAACAGGGACCAGATAATGCAAGGCCTTGTAGGCCCTTACTACTCAAAGCATAGTCTGTGGACCTGCAGTATCAGCCTTGCCTAGGAGCTTCTAAGTAATGCAGAATCTCAAGCCCCACCTCAGACCTCCTGAATCAGAATCTTCCTTTTAACAAGATTCCCAAATAATCTGCATGCACTTTGAAGTTTGAGAAACACCTTGCAATGTGTTTAAACAGAGGAGTGACATAAATTCATTTTATAAGGGTCACTCTGGCGGACTGCTAAATTGAAAAGAGACATGATGAGGGCAAGGGTGGAGGCAGAGGTACCAGTTAAAAGGCTATTGAGCCCGGCCGGGTGTGGCTCAGCAGTTGAGTGTCGACCTAGGATCCAGACGATCGGGGTTCGATTCCTGGTCAGGGCACATGCCCAGGTTGTGGGCTCGATCCCCAGTTGGGGGGCATGTAGGAGGCGGCTGATCAATGACTCTCTCATCATTGATGTTTCTATCTCTCTCTCTCCCTCTCCTTTCCTCTCTCTGAAATCAATAACGATATATTAAAAAATAAAATAAAATAAATAAATAATAAAATAAAATAAATAAAAAATAAAATAAAATAAAATAAAATAAAATAAAATAAAATAAAATAAAATAAAATAAAATAAAATAAAATAAAAAAATAAAAGGCTATTGAGCCTGGCCGAATATGGCTCAGCAGTTGAGCATCGACCTAAGGTCCAGGAGATCGTAGTCCGATTCCCAGTCAGGGCACCTGCCTGGGTTGTGGACTCGATCCCCAGTCAGGGGCGTGCAAGAGGCAGCGGATCCATGACTCTCTCATTGTTGATGTTTCCATCTCTCTCCCTCTCCCTTCCTCTCTGAAATCAATAGATATATTTAAAAAGAAAAAAGGCTATTGAAATCATCTTGATGAGAGGTGATGATTTCTTGGACCAGGGTGGTAGAAGTGGAATGGAAAGGAATTGTTGGATTCAGCACCTATTTTTGAAGGTAGGGCCAACAGAATTTCCTAATGGATTGAATGAGGGAGCTGAGGTTGTCAAGGATGATGCCAAGGATTTTGGCCATCATCTGAGATGAGGAAAACTGCAGGTAAGGTTTGGAAGGGAAAATTGGAAGTTCAATTCTGGTTACAATAAGTGAGATGTTTCTTAAACATCCAACTGGTCAAAGTCTGGGCTGGAGATATAAATTTGGGAATCATAAGCTAGAGGTGGCCCATTTAAAGCCAGGAGACTGGGTATGATCATCAAGGCAGTGAGTATAGAGAAGAGGTCCAAGGCCTAAGCTTTGGGACTTTTCAATATGAAGAGGTTGGTGGGAGGAGGAGAAACTGGTAGAGACGGAGAAGGAATGATCAGTGAGGCAGGAGGAAAACCAGGGAGTATGTTGGTCTAGGAGCCAAGTGTAATGTTCCATGAAGGAGGGAGGGATCAGCTGTGGCAAGTGCTGCAGATGGGCCAAACAGTATGAGGACAGAAGTACGACTATTAAGTTTTACAAAGAAGAGGTCGTCAATGACCTTGACAAGAGAAGTCTCCATTTGCATTGAAGTCTCATCAAAGGAAACAGGGCAGAAAAGGAAGAGCTTACCGGAGGTTTGTTTTTGTTGAACTTGATGGTGAAGAAGGCAAAGGCAGAGCCGAAGGCTGTGGGTGTCTGAGAAGTTGGGACACTCCAGCGTACAGAGTAGATGTAGTGGAAGCTGTGAACCAGGTCTCTCGTCTCTATCAACTTTGTGTAGTGCACCCAGCGGTCTTGATACTCCCAAGTCTGTTTCATAGAAAAAAAGAAAGAGCACACAGAGAAGACAAGCAGACTTCTGTCCAAGGCCTCTAGATAAAGGCAGAGCACAATAGTAGGGGTTATGGCCCTGTTTCTGGAGTCCTCTAACGTTTTTTATTGGGATTCAAACTAGTCAACTCCCCATTATCTCCACAAGTGGAGGAGAGAAAAGGTGGAGCTGAAATGAAATGAGTGACTAATGCAAAGATCACTTGACATTGGGCTTTGGACTGTAGATTCACATGCTCAGATGTGGGTGTGTACATACACACCACACATATGTACACACTCATTTTCTTCCAGACCCTTTCTCGGGCAGCAAGTTTGGTTAATTGGAAAATAATTAGAAAGTGACTAGAATATGTGGTCTGCTCACTTTCCTCAGGGAGACCTAAAGGTGTGACTAGAAAGTAACGAGGCTGATTTTGCAGTTTTTGAAAATCAGACTCACTTCATTGCAGTCATAGGTAATATATAAAATAAAGTCAGAAAAGGAATGAGTTGGGGAATAGGATCTTCCAGATCCCTCAGATCCCTGTCTACACCCTTGGAAGAGCCTCCCTTCCAAAGCACAAATCTTACCAGCACCTAGAGTCCACAGAAGTCATAACACAGCCCTGATTCTTATCACAGGGCCTTGAATGCTATAGGTACTTAACAAGTTCCAGTCAACTGAACCCCCTTGGGCTGGCTATCAGGGCACAGGAAACTTCCAAATCAAAAAAGATCCTGAATTAAGATGAAGGTCCACAGCTTGGCCAGCGTGGCTCAGTAGGTTGAGCATCGTCTCCCACATACCAGGAAGTCACTGGTTCGATTCTGGGTCAAGGCACATTTCTGGATTGCAGGCTCGATCTCCGGTAGGGGGTGTTCAGGAGGCAGCCAATTGATGTTTCTCTCTCATCAGTGTTTCTACCTCTCTCTCCCTCTCCCTTCCTCTCTGAAATCATTAAAAACATATTTTTTTAAAAAAAGATGAAGGTCCACAGAAGGAAGGAAGTGGGACAATCCCAATGATGTGTGGAAGGAATGTGGTAGGAAATGGTAAAATGATTCCAGGCTCTCCTATTAAAAAAAAAAAAAAAAAAAAAAAAAAGAAG